TTTAAGTCCCAAGGCAACTGGAGTTCGATTTTATGGAGTTTTGGAGATTGTTTTCTGATTCCCGGAAAGAATCTAAGTCTGGGGGAATAGCTGTTTACAACAAAGGAGGAAGGATTATGCAACAACATTTGGCAAGAAGAAGTGACTGAAAAACTGTGGTCATCAACAGGTCCTTATCTCTCTTGCGGTTTTGCATATTATCTTGCATCCTCCAGATCTTCAGGTAACCCGAAACACTTTAACTCCACCACTTAAATAGCCCTTTAATGCCAAACGCCGTCTACCCTGGATGATGTCTTTAATGAGAACTCACTATTGAACTTAATGAATGTCGAGAGCTAGTTGACTGGAATCAAGATTTATATTGTTTAAGTTTTGCATGACGAAAAAAGTGGACTAGTATCTCTTGTGCATTGGTGAGAATTTTCTAGACTAAGTTGTGGATTGATGCACTATCTTTGGTCCTAGTTTAGGAGTTCATGTCTATGAGATTTGTGCATTCCCTATTTTTGTTTTCACTTAACCAGTTTAGGCTTTTGCTTTGTTTGAGGACAAATAAAGGTTTAAGTCTGGGGGAGTTGATAACACCGTATTTTGACCACTTTTATGGATCGTTTTGAAATAATTTTTCTATGTTTTTAATTGCTTTTAAGTACTTTTATCACGTTTTTCTAGTATTTGTAGTTCCAAGACTCTTTTCAGGTAACTTAGGGAAAAGCTTAACAAAATGGATAAAAAACTAGATTTCAGCTCAGAGTCAAACCGTCAGAAGTTCACCCCTGATTGAAGGCCTTCTCACCGTCTGATCCAGCTTAAATTTGGAGACCTTAAATATGGAAGTATCAGCTTTCCAGCACACTTTACAGCTTGGCAATCCAACGGTTCAATCAAAAGATACGCGAAGAGCAAGATGTCCCGTAAACCAGCCGGCAAGCAACTCCACCCGCGGCCAACAGGCCATTTCCCGCGGTCAGAAGCATCCCGACCGCGGCAAACCATCCATTCCCCGCGGTCACAGCACTCCCGACTGCGGCCAGCCATCTCTGAGCCCGAAGGCCCATTTCTGAAGCCCACAATGATTCCTTCATTTGGAGAAACCCTAAGTGACGTCCAGAGATGTCTTGAGCACTATAAATACATATCTTCGGAACCCTATTTCGAGAGAGGCTATTTTTCTTATTGTTTTAGAGTACTTTTAAGTTTTAGGTTTTAGGGAGAGAGAGATCTGTCTCTTGAACCCTTGTTCTTTCTTTTTTAATTTCGGTTTCTATTCTACTTATTAATACTATGTTTTTAATTTCGTTCATTATGTCTGAGTAGTTTTATTGTTGGGATTAAGGGATTTTCGATGGGGATTTATATGTTCGATGAGGATTCCATGAGCTTCTGAGCCGAATCTTAGAACTTTTTCTTCTGAATTCGTTTTTACTGCATGAGAGTAGCGTCATGAACTACAATCTGATCCAGATGCTTGGTGACACGAAAGTGTTCATCCGGTATCAGATCTAGTTTGGGAGAGCAAAACAAACATAGGAGTGGAAACCTACCTATGGGCGATTTGTGAATGCTGACGAGTCTTAAACATAATGCATCTCTTCTCTTCCAGGGCCAGAGTGGAAACCTACTGGTCAGGGTTGAGAGAGATAGTTGTCTATGATCACGACAGTGGCGTATTCATACGTCCGTGACTCCAGTTCGAAAAGTTTAAGCTAAGATCTTATCAAATTTCACTCTCTAGCAATGTTTTGAATCGTTCGTACCCCTGAGAAAACTTTTCTGAACCCCAACGCCTTCCTTCCTATTGATTTACACCGTTTTTATTTCAAGCTTTAGTTCAATATTGTTTTTCCTTTTTAGTAGATTTTCATTTAAGCAATTAGAATATCCGTTTTTCTCATTTTTATTCATTTTTGTTAAGTTTAGTTATTAGGTCATTTAATTCCCGTATTTTCTTTTAAGATTTCGTTTTTACATTTTAAACACACTACCAAACCCCCACAAAACCGTTTTGGTTCTAGACTTCCTTACTTTATACTTATTTCAAAGGCTTTTTGCAGGAAAAGATCCTCCTTCCCTGTGGATTCGATCCCTAAGTACTACAATTGATCAGCTGTGCACTTGCGGCTATTGATTTCATTTAGGGTAAAACTTGACAACCCTCACGACACACCACATCACATATACGGTCTAGGTTTCCTAAAACATGTATTTATAGTTCTCAAGTCATTTCTGGATGTCATATAGGGTTTCTTCAAATGAGTGAATCGATTTGGGCTTGGAAATAGGCTGCTTGGTCGGGCAGTGTATTCTTCGCGGTCAGAGGGTATGCGACCAGTGGAAAATGCTTCCTGGCCGTGGTCAGCAATGCTGGCCTGCTGGTTGACAAGGCATCTTTCTCATCACGTAACTTTCTATTGAATCATTGGATTTTCCTAGTGTCAAGTGTGCTGAAAAGCTGACTGCTCCATATTTAAGGTATCCAAATTTGAGCTGAATCAGACGGTGAGAAAGTCTTCATTTGAGGGTGAATTTCTGACGGTTTGACTCTGAGCTGAAAATCTAGCCTTTTATCTATTTTGCTAAGCTTTTTTCTAAGTTTCCTGAAAAGAGTTTTGAAACTACAAATACTAGAAAACCATAATAAAAACACTCAAAAGAAATAAAAATCATTGAGAAAGCACTTAAAAGTGATCCATAAAAGTGGTCAAAATACGGTGTTATCACCTGTACCATGGAATTATCTTTGTCGGGAGCACAAACATAAGCGACAAAGAAGATGTGCAGAAAAGGCATTTAAGTACCTCGCACTTGACCCGGCGGAAGATCTAGGGATCTGACTCGTTCAAACCAACACAACCTAATATACGAGCCCAGGTCTGATAATCAAATAAATACAACCTCCGAGACTCTGTTTCACCTCTTTCTCGGGGAATACTCAAGTCTTATAGTTCAAGTATTCTGTCTAATCTTCCGATTCACAACCACTCAACTTGGTCCAGATAATCCACGGTTCAATAATTTTTCAGGACCTAGTCATCATAACTCTTTTTCTCAAATGTTTTCCGGTTCTTTCTCATTTCTTGCTAACAACTTTGTGGTCTTTTTGATTTGTTTCTGACCTGAGTGTCGGAAAGTCTCCAAAAAACACACCCTCATTGTGTTTTCTGACCTCTGATCTTGCTTGCTTCCTGGTGCAGGAGATTAGCCTCCAAGTAGATGAAAAAACTTTGAAACAGATTCTATGTGAATAGTATAATATTTGTTGTTCGGAAGTTGTTGAGATATAAAAGAAGTTGTTGGGAGAAATATTTTGACTGTAGAGATGCGGTGCTTGCACTGCTGTTGGAAGAGGAGATGTGGTATTGGCAATACTGCTAAAAACAAAATACTATACTATGAGTTCTATGTAAATAATATAGTATTTGGTGTGGGGGGGGGGAGGGGGTTCTCGGGAGATAAAAAGAGTAAAACTATAGGAGAAATCGATTGGCTGTAGGGATACAGTATTCATACTGCTGGTGGAAGGGGAAATGTGGTGTCTGCACTGCTACTGGAAGTGGAGAGAAATGGAGTAAAAGAGGAGATAAAAAAGTAGAAAAAGAAAAAGAAGAAGAAAAGAGAGTAAAAGTGTATATGTGCAATATATTTTAACCATACTCTCAATATGGTCATCCTATTTATTTCCATAACAAATATGCTTTTTTGATGCGAATTCCTTAGAATGTTTTCACATGCTTTAGTTATGATTAGCCATGGTGAATGAAAATGGTAAAACATACCCGATTTAGTATTGGTTTCGCCCATGATCTCCATTTATCAAAAAAAAAAAGAAATTCTGATATATACTGAATGCTGCAATTGAATGCATCAAGCAATAGCGGACCTTGAATGATCCCACTGAGAATCATCAACGAGAAGAATCTGAGGCATTTGATCGATGGGGAAAAATGCATCTTTGGAGAAAATTTTTAGCTCAAAAAGTAAAACTTCACTGGCTGAACATCGGTGACAGAAACAACAAAATCTTCCACAGAATGGTGAAAACCAGAGAAACTCGGAATGGAATTCAAGACTTGAGCATGATGGTGAAGTGATCATGGGGAGAAATGAAATCAAAGAAGTGGCCGCAAACAATCAGAATTTCTAAACTTTGTTCCCGAGGATCTTGAGGACACAAGTGTTGCCGATTTAAGAGAGTTACTTGGGTTTTAATGCTCTTCAGAAGATCGGATGAATCTGTTAAAACCGGTGACATCTGAGGAAGTAAAGGGAGTTCTGTTCACAATGGCATCCAATAACTCGCTTGGGCCTGATGGATACACGGTTGAATGTTTCAAGGAGAGTTTGTAGGTAACAGGGAATGATTTTTGGTCGGTATTCAATCATTTTTCATCAAAGGATTTTTACCAAAAGGAGTCAATTCCACGATTCTTGCTCATATTCTGAAGAAAGTAGGGGCAAAGAAAATGAAGGCATTCAGACCTATTTCATGCTTCAATCTCCTGTATAATTTCATTTCAAAGTTTCTTGCAAATAGACTGAAAAAAAGCCTTCCGAAATTTGTTGCTTCAAATCAATCGGCATTCGTACAGAATTGGTATCAGGTAATCATAAGAGCACAATCTCTCCCAGATACGCTTTGAAGATTGATATCTCAAAGGCATTTGATTCGGTTCAGTGGAGTTTCTTGCTAAACACTTTAGAAGCTCTGAATTAGCCAATAGAGTTTATTCACTGGATCAAGCTCTGCATATCAACAACTTCTTTTTCGGGTCAAGTCAATGGAGAATTATCTGGATACTTTGGGAGTTCACGGGGGTTGAGGCAAAGGTGTTCTCTGTCACCGTATCTGTTTGTGGTCTATATGAATGTGTTGTCTAAAATGCTCGATAAGGCTGCCATAAACCAGAGATTTGGATTAATTTCATCTGAAGTGTTCAAACATCAGCCTAACACATCTTTGTTTTGCTGATGATCTTATGGTTTTTTCTGATGGAACAATGAGATCGTTTGAAGGCATTGTTGGAGTTTTTGATGATTTCTGGAGAATGTCAGGTTTGAGGATTAGTGTGGAGAAGTCAACAATCTATCTAGCTGGTTTTTCAGACTCGAGCAGAGAGAGTATATCCCAGCGGTTTGCTTTTGAGTTTGGAACATTACTGGTGAGGTATCTTGGTCTACCTCTGTTAACAAAAAAAAGATAAGAGCACTTGACTATGAACCACTCATCAATATAATCAGGGGCAGAGTTAGCTCCTGGACAGATTTTGCACTGTCATTTGTGGGAAGATTACAGCTCCTCTCATCGGTTATTGCAAGCATCACAAATTTCTGGTTTTCAGCTTTTCAACTACCATCTTGCTGTGTTGCAGAAATAGAACGTATCTGCTCTACTTTCTTGTGGTCTGGGCCTGACCTAAACCGTCGAAAGACAAAGATTGCTTGGATGGATGTATGTAAACCTTGGGACGAGGGAGTCCTAGGTTTAAAAAGCATTTGGGAAGAAGATGATGTTTGCATATTAAAGTTGGTGTGGAGACTCATCACAGCAAACTCCCTTTGGGTTTGTTGGACAAAGGGTAATCTAATGCGTCCCGTGTCAAGGACAACTCCTGATCCTACAAACAATTCTCTAGGGTCTTGGATGTGGAAGCAAGTTTTACGATCACGCCTGCAAGCTGCAAAGTTCCTAAAAGTGGAGATTATGAATGGCCGATCAACTCTCTTCTGGCATGACAACTGGTCCCCTATGGGAAAGCTTCTCAGTTTTATTGGGGCTCGAGGGCTTGTGGATATGGGAATAAGGAAAGAATCAAGGGTGGAGGAGGTTTTCCTTTCGCATAGACGTCGCAGACATCGTATTGCGACTCTGAACGCTGTAGAAGAAGCAATTGATAATGCCAAGATACAATACAGAGCAAATGCAGAGGATAGTTTCTTTTGGCGAACAAAGGAGGCAACATATAACCCTGATTTTGATACAAAAGCCACTTGAGAACAGTTGAGAACCAAAGCTCCAAAGATCACCTGGTCAAAAGGTATTTGGTTCTCGCACAACAGTCTGAAATATGGTTTTATGGCTTGGCTTGCGGCGCATGATTGTCTCTCAACAGGGGACCGAGTGAAAATGTGGAGTCCCAATGTTTCCACAGTGTGTGCTTTATACCAGGACCCCTATGAAACAGGGTCCCATCTATTCTTCTCCTGCTCCTTTTCGTCAACGGGGGAAAATCTAGCGAAGGGCATTCTCAAACAAGATTACTCGACTGATTGGTCAGCAATGGTTAGCCTCATCTCTTGACCTTTCAGGGATCGGCTACAGACTTTCATATTACGGTATCTTTTCCAAATGACCATCCATGTTCTTTGAAGAGAGAGAGAAACGATCGACGGCATGGTTCGATACCATCTAATGCAGCTCACTTGATCAAGTTTATAGACAAGGGTATTAAGAATCGGTTCAGCTCAATCCAGTTACTTGGCGATACTAAATACGAGGAAGGACTTCAGGTCTGGGTAGCTTTGGGACCTTAGTTGGAAGCGGCAGTGATTTTTTTTAACCTGTATGAAAATTACTACCATCGCTTGTATTTATGAAGTAGAAAACGATGTTTAATTCAGGTTTGAATAAATTTAACATTCATCCAAAAAAAAATATTTTTATATATTTTTATTTTCTCAACGCCTTAAGGCGATATCATAAACATTTTCATCGTCTCAACCCATGATGTTGTAATTTAACGTCTTTAAAGACAAATTGGACCTACGAGCAAGGTGACTATATACTCCTTGAGTTTACCTTCGCTAAAATTGTCTATATCATCAGACTTGTTGTAGAGGACATGCAATAAGCGTCCAAAGTTAAGGGCTTGCTTGAGAACCCGAAATGGCACACTGGTTGTCTTCAATAGCACCTCATTTACGGTCTTATTAGTCTCTGCAATCATCTTTTGACATTCTAGCATAGCCTCTTCTTTGGTAACTACAAATTCCTTCATATAATAGTTGATCGCATTTGCAGCAAACCCATTACTCATGTCCTTCTGCAAAATAGCATGAGTTAGAAGATCACAACCCCTCAATCTCTTAAGAAGATAAATCACAACTCCTCAATCTTTCAAAATATATAGTTTTTCTAGAAAGAACCGTGGGAATTTTCGGCCCATAATCTCCCTCAATATAAAGTCAGCCTTTGGATATTCTAAAAGAATAATTCTCCATTCCAAAAAGGGTTTGAACCCGGGCAAACCAACTCCCTTGTAGTACCCCTAGGACATCACCCATTTGGTAAAATATGTAATTTATTTCTAAGGGAATCTTCCTTTATGTAAATAGATAGTTTTGCTGTACCTCGAAGTCAGTAACATCGTCCATTAGACGACCCTTTGCATCGATCAAGGTTCGCTCTCACGAGAATCTTAAGCTGCTTACTCGCGCTCTCACGAGAATATCGTTACAAGCTATTTGTATATACACTAGAGATTAACTCGCGCTTTAGCGCAGGAAACATTTTTTTTACCTTCAATTAAGTTAAATAATTTTGCAAAAACAGTCATTTTGTAAAACATTTAGTAAAACATTTATTGTTATAAAGTTTACAATAATATATTGCATATTTTGTGAAGTTCTTAAAAATAAGTTGATACATAAAAAAAATCATTTTTATTTTTTTGGTTTGAATTATAAAAAATAAGTTAATCTGTATATAAAGTTATTTTATAAACGGGTAAAGCAAAATACAGTTTATTAACCGTTGGCATTAGACTAATATATTATTCAGGCTAATACACCAAATATTATAATATTATAATCATCAACTCTAATTTGCAATACTTAGTAACTGAGTTTTATAATCTGTCCACAAACTATCAAAAATCAATTTTATCTTCTTTAATTATATATGAAAATAAGATAATATTATTTACACTTCGGTTTAATATATAGTAAATTAAAATACAACAAACTATATTAATTTTAAAAAACTATAATATTTCGTAGATTGAATATACCACCTTTTTAAAAAACTAATATTTTAAATTGCGTTATTTTTTTGGTGAATATTAAAATAGAATCTTAATCGATTTTGGTAAAAATAACTAAAATTTTTTTTAGTAACAATAACTAAAAAAAGATTTTGTATCAACTAAATATAGAGAATTATAGTAAAAGAATATTTTACCACTTTTTTAATATCATAACTTTTAATCTTGAATTTTATAGTATTTAGTTGTGAAACTTTTTATTTTCAAATTTATAATATCATTTGAAACAAAAAAATATATAAAAACTACTATAATTTTGAATTCAAAAATTAAATAAATAAATATACTTTATTAAATGAGAAACAAAGATTTTTCATATTTTTCTCAATAGATTTGAAAAACAATTATATATTTTCTTATTTTAATTATTCTTTGTTATTTGTAATAGCATATTATGTAATATTTTACAAAGTAAAGATTATATTTTAAAATGTCTACTTAAATAATAATATAGAGATGTTATGATCAATATTGTTACTCAAAAAAATTTTTTTTTTCAATTACCTCTTCTAACATCTCTTTCAAGTGGTAGGGTTTTCCTTCAGACCTCACTCCTCTTTCAATATCGTCGAAAACATCCAATGCGAGTTGGAAGACTATTCGGGATATATCTTCTAGTGTATCAACGTCATCAGGACTCCACCTACACACATTTATATTTGATAGACCATTTAGTTGTTTTCTTTTTTTTTGAAAATAATGTAAAATTTATTCATCTAAAAAAAAATACATTTTTACAATACATGCCTCAGATGCTGATTTTTAGATAGTTCAGAATAAGGATTTGCAGAACAGATTAATTTGGAGGTCTTGAAGCAAACCAAAAACTTAAGCCTTGTGTGAAACGATTATCTCCACTACGGATGATAGAGGATAATCGATTTCTCACGGTCTTGTCAATGAATTTGATGAGCATCTGCGCCGAAAAAGGCTGATCTCCGTGTCTCCGTTTGTTTCGTTCTCGCCAAACGGTGTGGATGGTGATTTGAAACAGGTATCGCATGACAAAGCTTGTAAATCGATCCCGTTGAGGTTGGGAGATGAGCTGAAGAAGATCATTCCAATCTGTTGTATAGGAGGCGTTGAACACACCTTGAGCAAGGTTCGACCATATTTCCGCAGAGAACCGGCAAGCAAAAAATAGATGATCTCGAGATTCCAGTGGATCTTGGCAGAAGATACACGAGGTGGGAGGATTCTGTTACCAGTAGATAGACGGTCCAGAACAGTTAGCCACGTCATGAAGGAGTATTTTGGTGTCGAGTTAGAGAACCAGACGCCACTCCACCACTGCTGAACCGGATGTAGAGCTCGTATTTGGTTCCGAGTTGCCTTTGATGAGAATCTCTCTTTGAAATCATCATCCTTAAACCGCCACAGGTGAATATCAGCCTCAGTCGATCTTATTTGAGCTCGGGTAGAGTCAATAAGATCCTCAACTGCATTCAAAAGTGGGTTACGGTGTCTCCTCCGCCTGTGGTTAGCAGCAACCGCGGCGACAGCGTCATGAGCAGAAATTCCAAGATCTATGAATCCTCTTGATCCAATCTTGTCCAGCAAATAACCCGAATCACTCCAGCAGTCAAACCAGAACGAAGTACCTTCTCCACTGATGATCCGAATCTTGTGAAACTGCTTAGCTTTATCTCTGTATTTGAGGATTTTCCTTCAAATCCAAGAGCCCAACTGAGAAGTAGTTTTTACTGCCCAAAAGGAGCCACGCCTGATGAGATACCTGGTAATCCAAGAGACCCATAAAGAGGAGCTAGCAGAGAGAATACGCCATATGAGTTTCATAATACAGACTGTGTTAGCCTCTTTCAGCGGTTTAATGCCAAGGCCTCCTTCCTTCTTGGGCCTGCAGACATCATCCCAAGCGACTTTCGCTTTGCGAGACGACATTTCTGGGCCCAACCACAAATATGCAGAACAGATACGGTTGATTTCGTCAATACAGCCTTTCGGAAGACAAAAAGCAGAGATCCAAAAATTCGCCAGACTCCAAATAACAGAGGTGATTAATTGAAGTCGTCCTGCGAAAGAAAGGTAACGCGATGTCTAGGACCTGATTTTTGATCTAATACACTCCAGAAGAGGGCTGTAGTCTGCTGATGTCATCTTCCTCGTCATCAGAGGTAAGCCGAGATATCGGACTGGGAGCTGGTCAACTGCAAATCGGAACATCGATTCAATCTCAGCTCTGTTTTGCTCTGTGATCCCAGCGAGATAAGCCGTGGATTTCTCGAGGCTGATTTTGAGCCCCGAAATCTTCCCAAAATCATCGAAAACCGAAATGATGCCTTCCATAGACCTGATCTTCCCATCCGTGAAAACCATCAGGTCGTCTGCAAAACATAAGTGAGTAAGAAGGATGCCTTTACACTGAGGATGATACCCAAATTTCCTTTCTACAGCACCTCTGTCTAGCATTCGGGAGAGGACATTGATACAAATGACGAAAAGGTACGGAGAGAGTGCGCAACCCTGTCTTAAGCCCCTTTCGCTACGGAAAAAACTAGCCAGCTCTCCATTGATCTGAACCGAGAACGACGCCGTAGAGATGCATAGATGTATCCAGTGGACAAAAACAGGGGGAAAATCTAGAGCTAGCATCGTATTAACCAGGAAAGACCATTGAACCGAGTCAAATGCTTTAGCTATGTCAATTTTCAGAGCACTACGAGAAGAGACTGATGGCTTGTGATAATCCTTAACTAGCTCCGAAGCCAGCAACAAATTCTCTATCATAAGTCTATTTTGGACAAAGACCGACTGGTTCGGCGCAACAAATTTCGGAACAATTTTCAGAGCATTTAGTTGTTTTCATCAAAACAAATCTCACAAAACATCTTTCAAAAACGCATTGTTCACATATTTATGTTGTTGTCCTCATATTTCTTTTTTTTTTTTTTCATATGTTGCACTTGGTCAAATGAAAAATCGACAATAGCAAAATCTTACAGAGATAGATATATCTTCACATGAAACTCTTTTTAGTAAAATTGCATGTATATAGTTTTAGTACTCCTAAAGTTTTGCCAATATAATACTCCTAGGTAATTTTATTTTGGTTACTTAAGCATATATTTTTAACTTCGTCTAGCAATCATATAGATTCAAAGTTGAATAACTCTCTAAAAGGTGGAATTCATGCCTTTATATATTTCAAGAAAATAAATATTTCATGCATTGACTGACACTTGGTCATGAACATCGAAAGATGTACGGAAACTAAATCACCAAAATTGTTCCATTTTCTTTCCCTCCTCATCATCTTTACATCATCTTACAATTGATTTCGAACTTAATTATGGATGGTTAGCTTCTATTGTTCAAAACATTAAGATTACGGGTTAATCTATAAATTTTATTGGATTCAGTTTACAGTATTTAATTACTTTGAGCTATTTATAAAATATCAGTTTCTTGATTTTTGACTCAATATAACATTAGCAAACATAAAAGGTTAAACAAGAATTAAAGAAACAATAAATTATCAATGAAATGCACAATATATAAATTCACAAAGCATCAACAAAAAAGTTTGAAAATACTTGAATTAGAAAGTAAGTGTATGTACCTTTCCACACAATCGACGAGCCTTGTAATCTCATGAATAGAGAAATAATCATCGCAAGCGTCATCTAAAATGGTAAGGAGATAGTTGAATTTAGCGGCAATAACCCTCCCAGTTGAATATTGAGGCTCGAAATACATCATCAATCCTGCTAGCCACGCCTCCACAATCTGCTCTCTAAATTGAGCTGGCATCTTAGATGTAACGTCTGACTCCATCCACCATCTTCAAATAATATAAAGTACCCAAAAAAATTCAATATTCGAATTATGAAAGTTCATGCAAAATCGACAATGAATAGACTGTTTTCCTACTTGATAAAAGTTTTCAGTTCTTTGATGTAATGCATCTGCAGTAACTTAAAACTGAGCTTGGCTAATTTGAGTATCATCTTGTCATGATCTTCTTCTTTTTCGTAGAACAAAATGTATTCCCTTGCAACTACCGCTTCCATATTCCAACGCTGAGGTAAGTATAGCGTGTTTCTTATAAGCCTTGAGATTGAAGCGGGCATGTCCCACCTGCCAATAATGACTCCAAGTGGCTGGACGTAAACCTCAACGCTTCGTCAAACATATCATCTGTCTTTGTTCCTAAGTGAGCTGCTTCATACAAGCCTAGTATACCTTTAGTATCTGCCATAAGAGATTCCTCAAACTTCCCATCATCCTTTGTAAATCTCTTGAATACATCTACTTATATTCAGACAAGGAATAGATATTTATGCATTACTATTTAAGAAGAGATGCGAGAGACTACATAGGAAAAATCAATTTCAGATTAACATGATAGCATTTTGTTACCAACTTGAAATTTATCGCCAGTTGTGATACTCTACAAGTACTTCATGACAGATAAAAATCCTAACAGCATTTTATCGAAATATTTTTCATGACTAAAAGATGCTGTAAATTTTGTGCTTATGTTCCATAGATTTAACATTTGTAAGTTAATTGCATAAACATGAATAAAGAAAGCATAGAAATAATAAATTGTCTTACTTGATGACATATAGTGTCCGTATGTTCTAAGAACGCGGAACATAATGGAGATTGTACTCAAGTCCTTTTCATCACCAGTTATATCATCTATCCTTTGAAACACATGTTTTAGGATATCTCTGATCTCATTCTCAAAATGAAATGCGAGACCAAGGCTTAGAAGCAGTTGGATCAAAAGTACCTTCTCTTTCAATGTCTCATCGTCACCTTGGGAGGATAGGAGCTCCCTAACTTCAGGTTTAAGTATATCCATCTCTCTTGTAATAACATCTAGTTCCTATTAGTTTAGACAAAATGAAAGTTCTTTTTCATGTACAGTTTTACTTGAATTATTTTATTTTTGCCGGCAAAGTTATATTTAGAGTTATATATATACTTTAACAAGAAAAAAATCATGATCTTTTTCAGGGCATTTCTTTACGTATGTGAATATACATAGTTCGTATGAATTTCTCACCGAATCATTGATAGGAAGAGAGAGGAAGTAATCAGTCCATTGAGAGTGAGATAACTTTGTGAACGCAAGACTTTCATGACCGAACGCTGGTTGTTGAGCTTCCATAGCGGTTGAGAGAATGAAAAAATATAAGAGGGAGAGATATAGAAGGCTAGAACCGGTGTTGGAAAACTAATATAAATAGTGATGAAACAATGTTTTTAGTTAGGGTGTATTGTCAAATAGACACTTTTAAAAACTTAAATATGAGAAATGGGTAGTTTACTATTCAACATTTTGATAAATGAGAAATTATTTTAATGACTAGAATCCTTGGCCGAGACCCGTACATCTTCTAGGTCTAGGATGAAATAATTTTCTATATTTGTTTTTTGAACAAGTAATTTTCTATATTTGTTAGGGAAAGTTTTCATAATACATCAAACAACAATTTATTACCATTCCAATACACCAGATTTATGTGACTAAAACAATACGTACACTTTTTGTATAATGCCCCAACCATCCCTAGTAGTGAGTCTAACCTCTCCTCTCTCGACCCGTAGGTCTACCCCTATCCGACGGCTGGTGTATTGTTTGGGAGTCTCATAAAGCTTATTTATTGACCTTGCAACTATCATGTAATCTTTTTCCGTGATTTGTTTTCACTCACACAGTACCACGAATCACTTTACGGTAGGTCATCCAACATAAGATTAACTCTAAATTTTTCTCAAGACCAATACCTAAAAATATAAATGCACTTTGATAACATAAGTACTTATAAGCCTCTCCGCATATACCAGAAATGTTACAGTCACCCCAATTCCTAGAGTGTAACGCCCTTGTTGTGTACTAAGATCGTCACCCTTGACGATATGAGTCCACATGATTCCACACATGTTTTGGGTTCAGCTCTGATACTACTTATAACGTATCGACCGCCTCTATCAGTGAGCCAAACGCCCGCTCTCTCAATCCGTGAGCCCCCTGACTGATGGCCGGTGTGTTGTCCGGGAAGCTTATAAGACTTGTTTACTGATCCTGCAATCACCACTTGATCTTTCTCCGTGCTTTGTCTTCATTCACATGGTACTGTTAATCACTTCTCGGTCGGTCATCCATTCTGAGATTTTTCCAGCTCAAACATGTTTAATTTTAGAATTCTCTCAAGATCAGTGCCCGAAAATATATATTCACTTTGGTGACGTAATAACCAAATGAATTCTTATAAGCCTCTCCACACATACCAAAAATCAAAAATCAGGATGTTACATTTTGTTTTGTGTAAAAAAACAATACACCAAGTAGTTGTTTTCCCCATTTTAAGCCAACGCATCTTAATTGTATACTTGATGGACGTTAACATCACTGCAGACGGTGTTTGATTTCCTTTTAAAAATTAACCTTGCTTAAAAGTTAGCTTTATTTAAAAACGATTTTGAACTTTTGAGCACTTGTGAAAGTTAACCAATGGTTTAGAGGCTAAACAAATAATAAACAGTGTAAAATGTCATCGACAGTGCGCTTAATGTTTATTAGTAGGTTGTGGTAAAATGGATTGACGGTTAATAATAATTGATGGATTAAAATAGAAAAAAAAATAGTTGGTATATTGTTCTGGAATTTTTCTTACTTTTGGTGTTTTAAAATGATAATAAAATACAGTTTGTTTATAATTATGAATTTTTTATATTTGTTATTATAATAATGTAGGTTGTAGATTAAATTTTAATTAGTTTTTCTTCATTTCTCCTTGCAACAAAACTCTTAGCCTTAATCTAAATTTAGATTTTTAATATCTATTTTTTTTTTTGCCTAGTTTGTAAATCTTTTAAATGTAACTCTAAAATTTTAAAAATACTCCCTTTATACAAATTAATATGACATTTTAGTTTTGTTAGATGGAAAACAAATTAATTGGCCACTATACCAAGTTCTGTCAAAAGTTCAAAACAAAAGATTTGTAAAAGTGGTTCTCTGGTTTGAAAATCCTTACGTAATAATTATACTTTGACCCAAAACGTATTAGTGCCCTTTTTCATTAAATATTAGTACTACTCTACACATTTTTCTGTCATTCAATGTTTTGTAGGATAATACAAAGTTGCCATTTCAGCTTCTATATAACACCGTTTAATTTATAAAGTCGATGAGACATCCAATGTTTTTGATAAAAACATGCATTATTATTAAAATACAAAATTGAATGGTGGGAATTATGTTTGGTTCGGTGGAGTCTTTAAAAAATATAAACGGAGTTTTTGAAAATATAAACAGAGACTTTTAAAAATAAGATTTAATTGGGTCAAAAAACCAAAATGTGGATCGAAAGTGATAAACTAATGGATATCTTTATTTCACCTTCTAAAATAGAGAAATTCTAATACATATCTCTATTTTTTCCTTTAAAAATAATATTTTAAATATATTTTTTTTTGTTATTTGTTCTTAACATTTTTTATTTATAAAATTCATAAATTAACCCCATTTATTCTAAATTTTATAAAAGTTTTCACAAAATTTTAGTTACAAACATAAATATTTGCTAGAGAAATTTCAAATTTAATAAAAATATATGTTTCTCATTTTTTTCTTCCAAACTTTAATCAAAGTTAATATATTTATATTCAATTAGTTTTTCATAATTTTTGCATTAATAAAAATATTTAAAATTTAAATGACTATTTTACAAATAAAATAAAATCTTTTTATATTTGGAGGAAAAACTAGCAATCTCTATTTTAGAGGTGAAAATAGAGATTGGTTAAAGTAAATTTTTCTTTAAATTATATTTTTACCTCTAAAATAGGATTGGGTTGGAAAATCTTTAACAAATAATTTTTTTTTATTATTGTCGTTACTGTGAGTAAAGATAAATTAACCTTTCGGCTTCTTTTTCTTTACTTTCTTCTGGTTTTCATACAACGAAATCAAACAAAATGACAAAAAATGATCTCATTCAAAAACAGAGATGAATCTCACAAAACTTTAAACACAAAACATCTTCTCTTACCTGATGGCTATCTAATGAGACCCATATACTTATGGTTTCGGTGAAGATGACGACACCAATGTCCACCACCATTATTGTTATTGTAAAAAGTTAAATATTTTAATGTGTTATAATTTATTGTTTTATGTATACACACTATGATTATATCTAATTTATTTTAATCTCAATATAAAACATGTTAGATTGATAACAATAGTCTTGTAACATGTTAAAATCCTGTTAAAGTTATGGTTTCGATGATTGTAACATTTCAGTTGTGGGCTCGATTTCAGTGTAGTTTCAGTGAAATTTAATATGAATTGTGATCATCTGGCCAAACCCAGTGAAAATTTATTCAAACCTATGATATATATTACATTAGAGTTTTAATTTACATAATTTTATAATGTATTAACATTTACCATGTATAAACATATATGTTTCCAACCCAATCCTATTTTGAGGAGGATCCTTCTGAAGATTATGATAAGGGCTAGAAAAAGTTTTCAAAATAATTATTATAGGAATAGAACTTAGCATTCTTTATTCATTTATTGGTTGTTTATTTTATTTACTAAGTTCTTAGGAATTAGATTTGGTGTTATTGGTGTTCTTTTTTTTTTGTTCAAAATTAGTGTTCTTTATTTTTAAAACGTTATTGTAGATCCACTCCTCTTTTATATTTAATAATAAAGTGTTTGGCTTTTATTCAAAATATTTTCGGCATGTCTTGCATTTTTTAAAAACTCTCTACCTCCTACACATTTCTGTCTATTGTACCACTCTACGTTTTTTAAACCTTAGACCTTCAGCACAATGGCTAGCCCAGCTTCTCAATTCTTGATAATCAATTTATTTCCGGTGATCAAGAACTCTTCTTCTGTACCTTCATGTCATGAGTTTTCATTTCATGTCCCAGCTCTTCCTCTTCCTAGGATTCAGGGACAAATCATCTGCAAGGAGGGGAGAGTTGAGAGATCTCAACCCTTTTTTTTTTAATAAACCAAATTCTACCCTGAACTGATTCAAACCAGAACTCACCTATATAACCCTTCTCTTCTAATTATTTCTCAGAAAATAACCTAGTGTCCCTCTCTCTTTTCCTCTCCTCCTCTCCGCGACACCATCCTTTCCTTTCTTATTTTTTCGTCGCCGCAAAGCTTCTTCTCCTTCTCTTTCTCTCTCCTCGTGTCTCTGCTGCTCCCTTTTCCCTCTCTTCCTCCTCTCTCGCCGCCGCATCTCTTCATCCTCCTCCTCTGCGCTGCCGGGAGCTCTCCTCGCCTCACCGAGCAGCCGCAAAGTCTCCACCGCTGCCTCGCTGCCTTCTCGCTGCTGCTCATCTGCCTTGAAGGTTCTGTTTGCTGCCAAGATGAGCCACACACCACCGCTGCCAAACGTTTCCTCGGAATATGAGCTGTACTGACTGCCTTGCCGTTTCCCTGCTCCTCCTCCTCCGCAAGAGCAAAGGTGGGCTTATTGCATCTCACTCTCCTTCATATATGTGATTTATTGATATGTTACTTTATCCTTAAACCGAAGCTGTAGGATTGTTAATAGGTTGTGTTGATATGAATTATATGAGTTGTTGACGGTGTTGATGAGTTAGGTTGTTAGAGAATTGATTGAATATTGGTGATTGATGTTATGACGTACTTATTTTAGAACTATAAGTTGCATTTTTCATGTTTGAGAGTCTCGAACCTAGATGAATGTTTATTTGATAGGGATAAACCGGCATTGCTTGAATTTGTATCGAGTTAGGTACTTGTTACAGGAAATCTCCGTGGTGAGGGCTTTTCTGTTGGAGCATTGGATGGTGCCTATAGGGGCCAACAGTAACCATCACTTGGGAGGATATTGGCGAACCCTGTAGATATCTGTGTTATCAAAAATGGTGGCAGGTCGACTTGCATGTTTTAGTTATAGGCGGGTCGGGTGTCACGGGTGGCAGGTCGATTTGTCTGTCCTTGGAGAATATTTGGATTTGGTTGTTATCCTCTGTAGAGCATTTTGCTCTTGTGTGAAATTTTTTTGTTAATGTTAAATGGTGGATGACGATTGAGGATCATAACTGTTATCAATGAGACTGATGATTGAATTGGAAATGGAGTTAATTAAGAAAAATGAATTA